AAAAAAAAAAAAAAAAAAAGACACTGGGCCAGGAGCAGTGGCTCACACCTGTAATCCCAGCACTATTTGAGACCAGTCTGGCCAACATGGTGAAACCCCTGTCTCTACCAAAAAATCCAAAAATTAGCTGGGCATGATAGCATGTGCCTGTAATCCCAGCTACTCAGTAGGCTGAGGCAGAAGAATCACTTGAACCAGGTGGTGGAGGTTGCAGTGAGCCGAGATCATGCCACTGCACTCCAGCCTGCGTGCCACAGCGAGACTCTGTTTCCAAAAAAAAAAAAAGATATAAGAACTCAAATAAAAAATTAATAATGGCTGTTCCAATTGATTAATGTTTTCAAATATTCATAAGAGAATGTACTTACTATTATTTGAAACCAGAACCAAAATAACATAAACAGACATTCTTTTCAAATTTATGTTTGAATCATTAGATAAGAACCAAGTTAAGTCTTCAAATAACTCTGAAGTACACAAAGTCTGCTGACAGTAAACTGAAATATAAAATATAATTTTAATTTCAATGCATTGTCACAAACATGCTTTAAAATATGCTGAACAAAATAAAAAATTACCTAACTGGGGATGGTTCTTAACCAAATCTCATGTAATTGATATTTATTAGTCATACAACAAAATTTCTGACAAACTGATATGTACTTACTCAATTAGCAGACCAAAGCAGCAGTATATTAATCAAAAGTACTTAATCTAGGCTCCAAAACACATACTGAAATCCCCTAGAATTTACAATAAAAAACTTATCTGAATAAAAAATTAAATAAAATTTAGCAAAAAAAAAAACCAAAACACACTTTAAAGGAGGAGTAACAAAACATAGCAAGAAAAGCAATTCAAGAAAATTCAGAAACCTGCTTTAGAAAACAGAGGGACAAACAATATTTGAGATATGTTTTGAGACTTTCCGAGAAATAAAAATCATTTCAAGAATCATACTATCTGATAGTTTTTGTGTGTGTGTCCTAATGCAATAGGCAGAATTTTACAAAAATAATATAGACATAAAGATACAATCAACATTTTATCCAGTTCCTAGAACCAGCTATTAGGCCCTATCTCAAAGGCAAGGACTAAGCCAGGCACAGAAAGACAAACATATTCTCACTTATTTGTGGGATCTAAAAATCAAAACAATTGAACTCATGGAGATAGATGATTATCAGAGGCTGGGAAGGGTAGTGGAAGGTGGTGGGTATGGTACCAAAAAAAAAAAAAAAAATGAAGAAAGAATGACTAAGACTTACTATTTGATAGCATAACAAAGTAACCATAGTCAATAATAATTTAACTGTACACTTTTAAATAACTAAACAGTATAATTGGATTGTTTGTGTAACACAATGAATAAATGCTTGAGTGGATGGAAACCTCATTCTCCACGACGTGATTATGCACTGCATGTCGGTATCAAAACATCTCATGTACCCTATAAATATATACACCTATTATATAGACACAAACATTAAATTTTTTAAAAAAAAATTCAAGGACTATATCTTACTTATCCCTGTATCCCCAATGCCTTGCACAAAGATTGCTTCCTAAAAGATTTTTTTTTTTTTTTTTTTTTTGGTGACAGGGTCTTACTCTGTGGTCTGTCGCCCAGGTTAGAGTACAGTGGCATAATCTTGGCTCACTGCCACCTCCACCTCCCAGGCTCAAGTAATCTCTCACCTCGGCCTCCCAAGTAGTTGGGACCACAGGTGCATACTACCATGCCCGGCTGATTATTTGTATTTTTGGTAGAGATGGGGTATCACCATGTTGCCCAGGCTGGTCTCAAACTCCTGAGGTCAAGTGATCCACCTGCCTCAGCCTCCCAAAGTGCTGGGATTATAGGTGTGAGCCACCATGCACCTGGCTGATGAAGAAATATTTAATAAATAAAAATATCAGAATATAAAGTTGGTCTGACAAACCAATGGTTTATATTCAACCTCATTTTAGATGCCCTGCAGAAAAGTGTTCTTGCCAACATGAATTTCTATACCCACACATTACATGGCTGTGGCTTATCTTCATCCTTTGATCTGGAAAGATGAAACAGAAAGGAAAGGACAGGGAAAAGGGAAGGGAAGGAAAAAAGGGAGGGGAGGGGAAGGAGAAAGGGGAAAGGAGGGGCGGAGAAGGAGAGGAGGGAGGGGAAGGGAAAAGAGAGAAAGAGAAAGAGAAAGAAGAAAGAAAGAAAAGAAAAGAAAGGAAAGAAAAGAAAGGAAAGGAAAGGAAAGGGAAGGGAAGGGAAGAAAAGAAAGGAAAGAAAGAAAAGAAAGAAAAGAAAGGGAAGGAAGGAAGGAAAGAGGAAGCAAGGGAGAGGGGAGGGAGGCTGGATAAAAATTATTCAAATGTGTAAAAAAAAGAAAAGAAATTAACTAAAAAATTAGTTTTGAGTATACTGTTAAAATATAACACAATGCTTAAAGTATAATGAAATAAAGTTTTATATTTTACCATTTTTTTCTGCAATAGCTCCTAATGTATATAAGGCTGCTTCTTTTACCATGCTATGTTCACTTGACTTTGCAAGATTTTTTACAAACATCAAACCACCAATTTCCCGAAAATAAACACTTGCATTACCTGTAGGATATGCAGAAAAAAACAAAATAGAAATGATATTTATTTTCAATATCCTTTCAGGGATAAAATAAATCACATGAAGACAGTAACATGATATGTAGAATAAATGAATGGAAGATAAAGAACTATGCTTATTTGATATATCATAGTACTAAAGAACTAGAATCACAGATAAAAATTCACTATTATATCTTACTGTTTTGTTGACAAATTGAATGAATAGTGACCAAAGCTTCCTTTTGTGAAACAGCATTGTCCATTTGATACTTTAGACACTCCAATAATAAGTTCAGGTCAGTCTTCATTTCTAAAGAACAACAATGTCATTATTTTAAACCAAAAAGTTTATTTCAAAAACTAACCATTAAAATTTCACTTACTAAATACATATCTTTGGAATGGTCAACTTTTAAAGTAATAGGCATGTATTACTTTTATAATCCAACAACCATGTATTTTTTTTAAAGATGTTCTTTTTTTTTTTTTGAGACGGAGTCTCACTCTGTCGCCCAGGCTGGAGTGCAGTGGCGCGATCTCCATTCACTGCAAGCTCCACCTCCCGGGTTCACACCATTCTCCTGCCTCAGCCTCCTGTGTAGCTGGGACTACAGGCGCCGACCACTGCGCTCGGCTAATTTTTTGTATTTTTAGTAGAGACGGGGTTCCACCGTGTTAGCCAGGATGGTCTCAATCTCCTGACCTTGTGATCCGCCCGTCTCGGCCTCCCAGAGTGTTGGGATTACAGGCGTGAGCCACCGCGCCTGGCCTAAAGATGTTCTTTAAATAAAAGAACTTAAAATGAACTTCTTATAGTTCTTTGAGTTTCCCTTTTTATAAATATAGGAATAGAAAGTCATAATATTATTCTTTTTAAGTAAAGCTACACTGGTTTAAATATCTGTCATTTAGAAAAAAAGTGGATAAAAATGAAAATACAACATATGAGAATTTGTGGGATGCTATGAAAGCAGTATTTAGGATGAAAGGTCTCAGATCAACGACGTCAGCTACCACCTTAGGAAATTATAAAAAGAACAAATTAAACCCAATATAAGTACAAGAAAGGAAATTATAAAGATCTAAACTGAAACCAGTGAAACAGAAAACAAATACAGAGGAAGTTCTTTGAGAAGAGCAACAAAACTGATAAACTTCTAGCCAGATGAATTAGGAAAAAAGGAGTAAAGACACAAATTACCAATATTAGAAATGAGAGAGATGGCATTACCACATTCCACAGATATTCAGAAGATATTAAGGGAGTACTATGTACAATTTCACACCTATGGATTCAACAACTTAGGTGAAATTACATCACCAAAACTCACCCGAGAAGAAAAAGACAACTTGAATAGTCTTATGTCTATGAAAGAAGTTGAATTAAGAGTTAAAAACTTTTCCACAAAGAAAACTCTGGGTTCAGATGATTTCATTTGCAAATTCTACCAAACATTTAAGGAAGGAATAATATAAATTCTACTCAAATTTTTTCAAAAGTTTAAGAGAAGGAATACTTCCCAACTTATTCTATGAGGCTAGTATTGCCTTTATACCAAAACAGAAGCCATTAGCAAGAAAACTACAGACCAGTTTCCCTCATGAACATACATGCAAAAAGTCTAAACAATTTTAGCAAATTGAATCCAACAATATATTAAAATAAAAAGACATCACGATTAAGTGGGTTTATCCCAGAAATACAAGATTGATTTATGATTTGAAAAAAATCAATGTAACAAAACAGGAAAACCTTTGGTCATCTCAATGGATGTAAAAACAGCATCTGATAAAATCCCACATGCATTCCTGATTAAAGAAAAATATTCCGCAAATTTGGAATAGAAAGGAACTTCCTCAACCTGGCAAAGTGCATCTACAGTTGAAAACCCTACAGCAAACATCATACTTAACAGGAAAGACTGAATATATTCTCTCTAAAACCAGGTATAAGACAAAGATGTTTGCTCGTATCACCACTCCTATGTAACATTGTCCCAAAGAGTCTAGCCAGTGCCGTCAGGTAAGAAAAAAGAAATAAAAGGCACTCAAATTGGCAAAGAAGTACTTGAATTTGCATACAACATGATCTTCCACATAATTTGATGGAATCTACAGAAAGCTACTAGAATAAGTGAACTAAGTTTTCCAGGTAACTCTTTAATACATAAAAACAGATTATACAGTCAAATGTTGCTTAATGATGGGGATACATTCTGAGAAAAGCATCTTTAGGTGATTTCATCATTGTATTAACATCATAGACTTTACTTACACAAACCTAGATGGTAGAGCTTATTACACATCTAGGTTGTATGGTATAGCTATTGCTCCTAGGCTATAAACCTACGCAGCATGTTACTGTATTGAATAATATAGTCAATTGTAATACAATGGCAAATTTTTGTATATCTAAACATAGAAAAGCTATAATACAGATTTTTTTAAAAGGTATATCCAGAAGCTGCTCTGGGTGCATCAGCAAGTGGCAAGTGAATGTGAAGGCCTAGGACACTATTGTACACTACTGTAGACTTCATAAACACCGTAAATTTAGACTACTCAATTTATTTTTAAAATATCTTCAATAATAAAATAAACTTAGCTTATTGTAACTTCACCACACCCAGCTAATTTTTTTTTTACAGAGATGGGGGTCTCACTATATTGCCCAGGCTGGTCTCAAACTCCTGGCCTCAAGCAATCCTCCCATCTTGGCCTCCCAAACCACTGGAATTATTTATAGGTGTGAGTCATCATGCCTGGCCTATCTTTATCTTTAAAAAAAACTTTATTAAAACTAAGACACAACACACACATTAGCATAGGCCTACACAGAGTCAAGATCATCAATATGACTGTCCTTCATCTCCACATCTTGTCCCACTGGAAAGTCTTCAGGGCAATAACACACACGGAACTGCCATCTCTTATAACAATCCCTTCCTCTGGGATACCTCCTGAAGGACCTGCCTGAGGCTGTTTTACAAAATTTTTGTTTATAAGTAGAAGCAGTGTATTCTAAAACAACAATAAATAGTGTAGTAAATACATAAACCAGTAACAGAGTCATTATCAGGTATTATGTACTACACATAACTGGATTTGCTATAGTTTTATACAACTGGCAGTATGGTAGGTTTGTTTACACCGGCATCACTGCAAACATGTGAGTAACGTGTTGCGCTTACTATATTACAATGTCACTACATGACAGGAATTTTTCAGTTCCATTATAATCTTATAAGACCACTGTCCTATATGAGGTCTGTTGTTGACTGAAACATCATTATGCAGCACATGACTGTATTTCTATATACTAGCAATAAACAAATGGAAATTGAAATTTTAAAAACCACCCCATTTACAATATAGCATTGAAATACTTAGCTATAAATTGACAACAGAGGTGAGACATACACCAAAAACTAAAAAATACTGCTGAGAGAAATTAAAGACGACCAAAATAAATGCCATTATATGCCATGTTCATGAGTCAAAAGACTAAATATTGTTAAGATGTAAATTCTTCCCAAATTGGTCTATACAATCAATGTAATCCCAGCAGGCTGTGTGTGTGTGTGTGTAAATTGACAAGCTGATGTCAAAATTCATATGGAAATGCAAAACCCTTACCATAGCCAGACAACACTGAAAGAGAAGTATAAAGCCAAAGGGCTAACTCTACCATATTTCAAGACTTTAAAAACCTACAGTGGGCCAGGCATAGTGGCTCACGTCTGTAATTCCAGCACTTTGGGAGGCTGAGGCAGGCAGATCACTTGAGGTCAGGAGTTTGAGACCAGCCTGGCCAACACAGTGAAACCCCATTTCTACTAAAAAATACAAAAATTAGCTAGTTCTGGTGGCACGTGCCTATAATCCCAGCTATTCGGGAGGCTGAGGCAGGAGAATCGCTTGAACCTGGGAGGTGGAGGTTGCAGTGAGCCAAGATCGCACTGCTGCACTCCCTCCACTCTGGGCAAACAGAGCGATATGCTATCTAAAAACAAACAAACAAACAAAAACCCTACAGTAATAAAACGAGTGTGGCACTGCCATCAGCATAGACAAAAAGATCAATGAAACAGGACAGTACAGAAATAAACCTACACAAACCCATGAGTTTTTACAAAGTCATTGCTAACAAATAGTGTTGGAACAACTGAATATCCATACTCAAAACAACAGCCAACAGAAACTCTTGAATTCATACTTCGAAACATATACAAAAATCAACTCAAAATGGAATGCAATCTAAATGTAAAATCCAAAACTATGAATTTTTTTTAAATTTTGTTTTTGAGAGGGAGTCTTGCTCTGTCGTCCAAGCTGGAATGTAGTGGCGCGATCTCATCTCACTGTAACCTCCACCTCCTGGGTTCAAGAGATTCTCCTGTCTCAGTCTCCCGAGACTGTGCCTGGCCAACTACGAAACTTTTAAAAGAAAACATGGGAGAAAATCTTTGTAACCTTGGGTTAAGCAAAGATTTCCTAGATATTACAATAACAGCAAAACCCACAAAATAATAATGAACTAGGCTTCATAAAATTAAAAACTTCATTGTTTTAATAGTGTCTTCTAAAGCGCAGCAAAGACAAGCCACAAACTGGAAAATCTTTGCAAAGAACATATCTGATAAAGAACATGTAGCCGTCTAGTGTACATTCTGTATGTCAATTAAAAAACAAACAAAAAGAACATGGGGCCAGGCACAATGGGTCACATCTGTAATCCCAGCACTTTGGGAGGATGAGGCAGTAGTATCTCTTGAGGCTACCAGCCTGGACAACAATGTGAGATCTATCTATGCAAAAAAAAAAAAAAATTTAAATTAGCCTGGCATGGTGGTATGTGCCTGTAGTCCCATCTACTCAGGAAGCTGAGGTAGAAGACTGCTTGAGGTCAGGAGCAGTGGCTCATGCCTGTAATCCCAGTATTTTGGGAGGCCGAGGTGGGCAGATCACCTGAGTCACGAGTTTGAGATCAGCCTGGCCAACATGGTAAAACCCCATCTCTACTAAAAATATAAAAATTAGTTGAGTGGGGTGGTGGGTGCCTATAATCCCCCGTGCTTGGGAGGCTGAGGCAGAAGAACTACTTGAACCTGGGAGGCAGAGGTTGCAGTGAGCTGAGATCGGGCCACTGCACTCCAGGCTGGGCAACAAGAGTGAGACTCTGTCTCAACAACAACAAAAAAGTACTGCTTGAGCCAGGAGTTAGAGTCTGCAATGAGCTATGATTGTGCCACTGTACTTTAACCTGGGTGACAAAGTGAGACACTGTCTCAAAAAAAACAACATATATCTAGAAAATATAAAGAACTATGAAAGCTCAGCAACAGAAAAACCAACAACCAGATAAAACAGCAAAAGATGTGAACACACTTTAACAAAAAAGATAAATAGATGGCAAATAAGAACATGAAAATATTCTCAATATCATTAGTCATTAGGGAAATGCAAATTAAAACCACAAGGAGATGCCATTACACACTCACTGAACGACTAAAATTTATGACTGATCATTTCATATGTTAGCAAGGACGTGAAGGAACTGGAACTCTCATATACTGCTGGTGAATATGTAAAATGGTACAAAGATTTTGACAGACAGATCAGCAGTTTCATAAACTGTTAACGTATACCTACATTTGATTCAGCCATTCCACTCCTAAGTATTTACCCTAAAAAGGGGAGATATATGTCCATAAAAATGTTCACAGCACCATTATATGTAATAGCTAAGAAGTGTAAGCAATCAAAATGCCCATTAGCAGACGAATGGATAAGCAAATCATGGTATAACTACACAATGGAATACTTAGCAATAAAAAAAGAATTATAGATGTATGCAACAACACGGATGAATCTCAAAATAATTATGCTGAGTGAAAGACGCCACATAAAATAGAATTCATACTGTATGATTCTATGTACAGAAAAAATGCAAATAGTCTATAGTAACAGAAGGCAGATTAGTGAGTGCTTGGGGAAAAAAGGCTCTAGGAAAGCACAGAAGGTAGGGATTACAAAGGAGCAGAAGGATACATGCACTATCTTGATTTTGCTGATGGCTGCACGGCTACATACCTATACCAAGCTTTATCAAAATGTAAACATTTTGTTTATAACTAAACAGCAAACAATAGACAACTATTTTCCTATAAAGTTCTTTAGTATAGTCTTAAAAACAATTTCTTCTCTTGATTTTAAGGATTTAAGTCAAATGGCATATAGATTTTGTAATAATGCTTGAAGTACATTTAGAGTAGTAGGCTGGGCGCAGCGGCTCACACCTATAATCCCAGCGCTTTGGGAGGCCGAGGTGGGCCATTGCATTCCAGCCCGGGCAACAAGAGCAAGACTCTGTCTCAAAAAAAAACAAAATGAAAAAAAGTTAAGAGTTCTGAAAGATATAGGATGAAGGGTGGATATAATATAGAGGAGCACACTAAGAGAAATTAAGATGTATCATCAATCAATATAGTACTTAGTCTCACTCTTTGTTTTGTGGGTTTTTTTTTTTTTTTTTTTTTTTTGAGATGGAGTCCCGCTTTCTTGCCCAGGCTGGAGTGCAGTGGAGCAATCTCAGCTCACTGCAACCACCGCCTCCTAGGTTCAAGTAATTCTCCCACCTCAGCCTCTCAAGTAGCTGGGATTACAGGTGCGCACCACAACGCCCAGCTAATTTTTTTGTATTTTAGTAGAGACAGGGTTTCACCATGTTGTCCAGGGTGGTTTCGAACTCCTGAGCTCAGGCAATCCACCTGCCTTGGCCTCCCAAAGCATTGGGATTACAGGCATGAGCTACCGTGCCCGGCCATAGTCTCACTCTTGAAAGAAAGTCAAATGTCAATTTGTTTGAATGAAATAATTCATGACAAAATTTGTTAGTGAAAACCATAGTACAAAGGTTATCGCTAAGATGTTTTTAGCAATAGCAAATATTTATTTATCATTTTGTACACTAACAGACACCATAAGAAGGTAAGTTTGACTCTATGGATACCAATAAGCCACATCAACAACATGCCGAAGAAAATTTTTGATGGAGCGCAATGATTTTCAGTTCTAGGCACAATGCAGGCAGGATACAAAAGACTTTTATTTTCTTTTGAGACAGGGTCGCACTCTATTGCTCAAGTGAGTGAAGTGGTGCAATCACAGGGCACTGCAGCCTCAACCTCCTGGGCTCAACGGATCCTCCCACCTCAGCCTCCTGAGTAGCCAGGAATACAAAATTAACCACGCCTGGCTAATTTTTGTATTTTTTTAATAAATGGGGTTTTGCCATGTTGCCCAGGCTGGTTTCGAACTCATGAGCTCAAGCCATCCGCCCGCCTCGGCCTCCCGAAGTGCTGGGATTACAAGCGTGAGCCACCATCCCTGGTCTGCAAGAAACTTCTTTACGTACTCCTCCATTCCCTTCTGTACGCCTTTCTCATACTTTGATATCTCCTATCATAATCCTTCCCTTCCCAGCCAAAGCATCTCCTGACATCACAACTATCATATTTCACCTTGGTTTTTATCTTCTCTAGGCAAAATAACCTAGTTCCTTCAGTAACTACTGAATAAAATAAACAAGCAAATACTGAAGAGAATACAAAAAACACAAGCAATCAAAGAAAATTTGATAAACTGGACTTAAAATTGTAAACCTTTATACCTCGAAAGACACTATCGAGAACACAGAACAACAGCCCAGTCTAGAAAAAAATATCTGAAAATCTGTTATCCAAATAAATAGGGGGCTTGTGTTCAGAACAGATAAAGAATTCTTAAAACGTAATACTAAAATCACAATCTAAAGTGTGGAATGGATTTAAATAGACATCTGTCCAAGGAAGATAGATTGCCAATAAGTATATGAAAAGATGCTCAACATTCACTGGTCATTAGGCAAATGCAAATCAAAACCACAATTAGATACCACTTCACCCTGTTGCTAAACAATTGACTGATGGGAGCTGATAGATAAATACTCTCACCCCTTGGCTGGGATGACGCTCAGGGACATGACTCTAAACTGGCTCCCAGAGTTTCCCAGTGGGCTTAAGCTCCAGTTATCCATAATAATAACTTATTTGATAACATATTCTCTGTCTTCTTTCTCCTGTCTCATTTCCCCATTTTCCAGCTAGTGTTTCCTGGGATCACTTTCTGAAAAAAGGTACTTGCACTCAAATCTTTATCTCACAGTCTACTTCTGGGAGCAACCTGAAGACTTAAAATGGAAGAGAGTGAGATGTGGGACTGAGGTTGGAGGTTTTATAAATGGTTTGAGAGGGGAATCACCAACAGTTATCTCCTCTCTCTCCAGTTTTCAACTTCTCCCTCTCCAGAATCTCCATTCCCTCTTCAGAAATTCTCCTGTCTTTTATAACACTTTCTTGACATTACAACTTTCCTCTAGCTACTGCCATATATCTTACTATTTATTTATTTATGAATGAATGAAAGGGTCTTGCTCTGTCACCAAGGCTTAAGTGCAGTGGTGCGATCATGGTTCATTGTAGCCTTGACCTCCCAGGCTCAAGTGATCCTCCCACCTCAGCCTCCCAAGTAGCTGGCACTACAAGTGTGTACCACCACGCCCAGTTAATTTTTGTTTTTGTAGAGATGAGGTCTCACTGTGTTGCCCAGTTTGGACTCAAACTCCTGGGCTCAAGTGATCCCCTACTTTGACCTCCCAAAGTGCTGGAATGATAGGAGTGAGCCACTACACCTGGTTGATTATGTATTTTTAGTCAAGCTCTTAAAGAGTAAGCAATTCATACTGTGTCTTCAGATCTTAATTTTCCACTCAAATATAAACAGACTGCAATCTGGTTAAAATCTATTAAGTTTACCGTTAACATAACAAATCACATCCTAAATGCAAAATGCAGTGGAAAATTCAGTCCTCAGCTGTGACAGTTGACATTTTAGGCTCTTAAGCAACCTCTTTCTCATGAAGCATTCTCTTAAGGTTCTGATTTCAAAGATACCACATTCCTGACTCTCTTTTCACCTTTTTGAAATGTTTTTCTCAGACTTTTTTTAGGGGCTCTCTTCCTCAGCTAAAACCTTATATGACAGTGTGTATTAATGAACACTATTCTCCATCCTTTTCTCTCTGGTTAACCTCCTCCATGCCCATGGATTCAGTTTCCATCTTTCTGGGAACAATTCTGAAATCCGTACCTTCAGGCATCCTTTGATGGTGGTCTTCTCAGGTTCCCATTTTTCTTGTATACACTGACATTAAATCAACTATCACATGAAATTCTAATTGTCAATATGTCTTTTCCCATTAGAATGTCAGTTTCCTGAAGCCAGAAATTATGTGACAGGCACAGAGTAGTGCTCAATATTTATGTAAATGGCTGAATGATTCTTTCATTTCCTGAATCCTGTCAAATAATCTACAGTATATCCTACCAATACAAAACTCACTGCAGATATATGATTCAATTTCTCACCTTGTGTTTTCTTTGTGTCTTCACTTTCCATGCTTGTCTATATTCTTTTTCCTTATATTTCGTCTATAAGATAAAGGTATTTTCTCAATTTAAATCAATGTTTGAGAATAGCAAAGATATAAGTACAAATGGGTGGGAAAAATTGTTTTCCTGAAGCCAAAAGACCAGGGAATTACAACTTTTAAAATAATAATTAAATTTAATTAACTTAGTTAATAAGTTGAATCTGCAACTTATTAGATGTGTGCTATCAAGCAGGTTGATTAAATTCTTTGAGGCTCTGTATCCTCAGCTGTAAAATAGAAATGATATTCCTATTTCACAGAGTTGTTACAATAATTACATTTAAAAACATAAACATATCTGGCATTTTTAAGCACTATATGCATTCAAGACATTTTATTAAGCAAATGAATGGGTGACTGGATCTAACTGGACCTCTTAACTGGTCCCATTCCCTTCCTTTTTTTTTTTTTTTTTTTTTTTTTTTGAGACAGCAGGGTCTCACTCTGACGCCCAGGCTGGAGTGCAGTGGCTTGATAATGACTTACTGCAGCCTTGACCTCCCAGGCTCAGGTGATCCTCCCACGTCAGCTTCCAGAGTAGCTGAAACTACAGGCACATGCCACCACACTTGGCTAATTTTGTAGAGATGGGGTTTCGCCATGTTGCCCAGGCCAGTCACAAACTCCTGGTCTCAAGCAATCCACACACCTCAGCCTCCCAAAGTGC